CCCTGCTGCTGCTGCTCCTGCTGCTGCTGCGTGGCTGACGCAGATGGCCCAAGTAGCAAGATGCTCAAGTCACGCGTGAAACCTTTCGAGTCAAGGTGCAAAAGGCGACAGAATGAAGCGCGCAACCAACAAACTACTTGACAGCCCTCATAGACGCACTTGAGTTTTTATGGGAGACCCTCACTCAGCTGGACGTCACATGTATGTTGGATGGGTGTCCGATCAACTACAAGACCCTCATTGGAAACCCAAGCCCTGGAAAACCCACTCTGCTTGACAACCCGACAACAAGCTACCTGGCAACAGTCATGAATGCACCTGAACCAAGCAACCATAAACAGGCTTGCTTGAAACCATCATCTATCGCAGCGCAGCCGACGGGTCCACTCAGCCCCGTGCCCAGCCAGAGTCCTCACGCCTCGGCGGCAAGCCCAAGCTGCGGCGCCACGGCTGTGTCCGGCTTCGCAGAACTAAAGGGCAAGCACGCTTACCTACGTGCCGCGCCGCCTGCGCTGGCAAGCGCTTACTTGCGGGCTGCCTGCAGCAGTGCGTGACGCACTTGCCTGCGGGCTGCCTGCAATGGCAAGCAGCTGCGGCGCCAACTTATTCTGCTTAGTGCGAAACTACTCCGCAGCTTGCGCAGTAGTTTTGCACTAAGCAGTGTCAGTCGGCGCCGCAAGTGGCGCAAGTAGATATAGCATAATCAGGCGCTGGCCATCAGGCAGCCCCTAGGCGAGTGTGTCACGGCCGTGTAGCCGCAAGCTACGCTTCCCACTGCAGGCAGTCCGTAAGCAAGCGAATTGTGCAACGCCAGGTCACCGCAGGCTGCGGCAGCACGCGACACACCGCATCCCGCAGCAACAATCAACCAGCTCGTGGAACCAAAGTAGAAGCGATCCCTGCTCGAAGTAGAAGCGTGCATTTATGTTTTTGAGAACAAGGGCGCAGGCAAACTGTTTGTTGATTTTTCAATTGGGTTTATTATCGCTAAGGGGTGAAGGTGTCAGGACTTTGTTAAATGTTGCGCCCCCTTCACGCAACAACATCCAGCCAAGCTCGGCCAACTCATCCATTCAGTCAATCCCAGCGCTCTACCTTGTCTCTTTTGCCCGAAGCGCAAACTCTGCTGCGCGTCGTACCGCAATGCGGTCCGCAGCGGTGCGCGCGCCGGCGCGCCGCCCAACCAGCCGCTCGCCCAACAGTCTTCGCGAAAACTATCTACCTACAACGAATTTTGGACTTGACCCTGCGAAAGTGCCGCGTCTGCTGCGAAATCTGTACCTCACCATGCGAGAGTGCTGCGCCTGCCTGTGCTTGACCTTGCTAAAATGCTGCACCTGCCACGAAATCTATACTTGACCTTGCGAAAGTGCAGCAAATGCTGCGCTCGCCACACAATCTGCACCTCGGCTCGCCAAAGTGCTGCGCCTGCCGCGCGCAGCTGACATCGCGAGAAGCGCCTGCGTCCGTGCCAATGGGCCCGGGCCCGACCGCGTTCCGCACCCGTCCTCCGTCAGAGAATCAACACTAGCGCTCGTCCCGATGATAAGCATCATCGTGCATCCTCTGCATCACCAACAGTCATGATGATAATCGTGACTACGCATCCTATGCATCTCCAGTCGGTTCTTACGGGACCTCCAACTGTCATGATGATTCACCAGCAACACAACTCCGACGAATGCGACCACTTGCGGAGGGGTCGAATGGAGCGGCCCCGCATCGCCAGCATCGCCGAACATCACGAACAACGTTCCCCAGAAAACGCCTGTGGCAGCTGATGACGACTATGATGATAACTTCAGCTTGTCCAGTTGCAGCCGCGTCCAGCCTTTCAGATATATATATATATGAAAGAGAAAGCCGTGACCATAATAAGGATGATGACTGTGATGATAAGGGTGATGACTGTGATGATAACTATCGTCGTAGCATTGTCTGCAATCCTCTGCATTACCAATACTGCCTCATGAGAGATGGCGATGATCAGGATGATGACTATGATGAGAAGGATCATGACTGTGAAGATAACTATCATCGTAGCATCCTCTGCATCTAGTAAGAAGAAAGAAACAAGAGAAGGATGATGATGACCACAAGACGACGAGGATGATGATAAGCGTGATGACTGTCATGGGTACTATCATCGTAGCATCATCTGCATTACCAATGCTGCCTCATAAGAGATGATGATCATGACCATGAGGATGATGCTAAGGATGATGACTATGATGAGCTGATAAGGATGATGACTATGCTGATAAGGATGGTGACTGCAATGATAACTATCATCGTAGCATTGTCTGCATTACCAATGCTGCCTCATAAGAGATGATGATGATGATGATGATGAGGATGATGACTATGATGATAAGGATGATGACTGTGATGATAACTATCATCGTAGCATCCTCTGCATTGCCAATGCTGCCTAGCGCCACAATTGAAATGTATATGATAATAAGAAAGAAAAATGGTGATGACCGCAATGATGATGATC